AAATAAAAGCAATAAAGCATTTTAACAGAAGGAGCTGGAAACGTACTGCTCCCACTGCGGGTTTTCTCAATGAAAGGCGCATGGGAAGGTTCTGTATTTTTCCTTTTGTACGTCTTGGTAACTCGGTCCACGTCGGGCTGTTTTCGTGTCATCTCCTCCATAAACATCTGTTAGACATTAACAGCAAGAAAAAGAGTTGAGTTTTCTTGGAATCAGACAACTTCTTACTAACAAAGGCCAAACCTCTCATCAATTGGGGGATGCCCTCACATACTTTCTCATCTTTAAAGAAATATGATTAAACAAGGCATTTCGTCAATCCCTGAAGGATTAAGCTGTGGTCTTTGACTTCAAGCAGAGACCTTCAAACAGTTAGATGATAAAAACCAGCAAGTCAGAGCAGTGAATGCTACAGGTGTCAAAGGTACTCCTAGTGTGGGCTGCTCTCAGTCCAAGGTGGCAAGAAGGGCTGCCTACAGGTTGGTGCCTGCGCTCAATCCTAAGGAGTAAAGTATCGGCCCTTCAAATAGTGTGTGAAGGGTAAGTCCGGCAGAAGGTATAGCATGGGCAAAGCCAGGGAATTCAATCAGATGAGCAGGAGACAGGTTTCGAAAGGTAGGCAGGAGAAAGATCATAAAAGCCTTTTGTCAGATCAATAGACTGGGATTCTATTCTTGGGGTGGGGTTGTGGTAAGGGAAAAGGAAGTGTGCGGCAAATGACAGCTTTTGGTTTGAGGTAGAGACGTGATCAGATCTGTGTTTTAGAGCTATCAGTCTAGGAACTGTGGAAGTGGGTTAAAAAACTGTGGAAGGAGGCTTACAAAGCCATTGAAAAAACAGGCAAAACTGAGAGCCTGAGTCAGGGCAGGAAAGATGGAGCTGAGTGGTAGCATAGAAGGACAGAAAAGGTTTGTAGACTGACTGACTAGTACTAAGGGGTATAGTATGTCAGAGTTGATGAAGATGGCACAGGATAAGACAGATAAGATCTGTTGTTCTAGAGTTGTTATGAGTTGTTCCTGACTTGTTGGCACCTAATAACAAGAGGTATAGGAAAGTTCTAGATATATCACAGGCTGTTATATTGAGTGACTGGGTGGACAGAAAGGTAAGAGAAAGGTTTGGAAGGAAGAGGTGGGAATAGGAAAGGAAGCAAAGAAAAAATGGAACTTTCAGAGTTGTGCCTGATATAATCTTTTTGGACTTTCGGAACTGACAGTGCTTGAGATGAAGGAGATGTGAGAGACCTTGGATTTAAAGGTGATGGCCAAAGCAGATGGACTAGATAAAATTTTAGAAAAGGTCAGCAGAGTAACACGGAAGGATTGAATTTTGGGGAACACCAACATTACTAAGTGAGTAAAGAAAGGAGTACTAGTTAAAGAGGAGATCTAGAAAGAATGGTCAGAGAGATTGAAGGAAAATAAGAAGCTGAAAGGACACAGAAGTCAAAAGAATAAAGTTCTGAAAAGGAAAGAAAAACCTACTATGTCCTTTGTCAAAGAAGCTGAGCACCGAGAAGCATCTGCTGAACTTAGCAGGCTGTCTGGGACACTGTCAGAGGTCTGGGGAGTGAATGGAAAGTGAGTGGAGCAGATAGAGGAGTTGTGGCTGGCAAAGAAGGGAGGGCACAATGGTAACTCAAGAGGAACACAAGGTTGAGAGCACAAGTCTGGAAGCTCTGAAGAAAAGAGTTCATAGAAAGGAAGAGTGTGAAGACACAAACCAGGAAGGGAAATTTTCTCAGGAAGGAGTCAAGTAGGTCAATCTGATACAAAGTATAGGGAGTCCTCACAGGGTGGGATAATTACTCATGTTGTAACACTGACCCTCCAGCAATTTTCAGAGCCAGTTAACCACATGGGAGGAGACGGCCCATCCTTCTCCAGCAGAGCAACTGCTGCCTTTAGAATTTCAGTGCAGTTTCTTGCCATTAGGCCACCAGAGCATAATTATTCATATATACTAAAAAGATATTGTCTATAACTAAGCAATATATACACTTGTATTAAGTGTAAATTATCATTGTTATAAGTAATATTTGCACCAAAAGAACATATGGTTCAGCTGAGTTTTTCTTTATTTCTTCTAGTTGGATGTGTTTTTTTCCTTAACCTATCTTTGAATTCATGTAAGAGCTCTTTCTGAATGGGAACAAAACAACAGGCCTTGGCCAGAGAAAGGTGAACAAAAGCAAGACCTGTTTGTTTAACAAGATAGTCACTGCCTTGATTGTTTTTGTTAAGTGCCGTTGAATTAAGTATGATTCACAGCAACCCTTTTTTTGTCTCCAAGGAACACACCAGCTGTATTTTCTCCAAGACATATCTCTTTGTTCTTTTGGTAGTCCACTCAGCACTATTCTCCAACACAACTCAGATGTATAAATTCTTATCCAGTTGTCCTTATTAATGGGCCACTCTCAGACACACAGCAGGTGACTTTAAATCAAGCGCACCTTAGTCTTTAAACTAACATCACTGCTCTTCAAGACTTTGGAGAGATCCTTGACAGCAGATTTTCCCAATGTTATTCTCCTGACTCCTGGTATGCAGCAAGGGTGTTGACTCCATAGTCAACTCCATTCAAGCAAGATGAAATTGTTGACAATTTCAATCTTTTCTCCATCTTTCATGATGCTGCTTGTTGGTCCAGTATTTTTTGTTTCCTTGATGTTGGGATGTAGTCCATATTGAAGGCTGTAGTATTGATCTGCAGAAGTGCAGCAAGCACTTCAGGTCCTCCTCACTTTAAGAAAGCAAGTTTGTGTCATCTGTATAACTTGGGTTACTTAGTCTTCCTCCAGTGCTGATGACATATACTTGTTCATAAAGTCCAGCTTCTCTAAAGATTTGCTCAGCATACAGAGTGAATAGGTATGGAGAGAGGATATAGATCTCATGCACTCCATTCCTGACTTTTAAACCATGAAGTGTTCCCCTTGCTGTTTGGACAACAGTTTCTTGGTCCAGGTACAGATTTCGTATAACTTAAGTGTTCTGGAATTCCCGTTCTTCTCAAGGTTAGCCATAGTTTATGATCCACACAGTCAAATACATTTGCAAAGTCAATAAAACACAAATAAACAGTCTTCTAATATTCTCTCCTTTCAGCCAAGATCCATCTGACATCAGCAATACCCTGATACCACGGACTGTTCTAAACTGAGCTTGAACTTTTGGCAGTTCTGTCAGTACACTGTACTAATAATTTGTGGATGATCTTCAATAATATTTTGCTTGCATATATTAATTATATTGTCCAATACTTTCCACATCCTGTTGGATCACCTTTTTTGGAAACGGAAATACGGATCACTTGTAGTTAGTCAGCTGCTTTCCAAATTTCCTGGCATAGAGTGGTGAGAATGTCCAGGACTGTTTCTATTATTGAGAACATGTCAATTGGTATCCCATTGATTCTTGAGGCCTTATTTTTACATAAGGCTGACAAAGGAAAGAGGGAACAATGGTAGTAACTTAAGAGGAACACAGAGTTGATGGGGTAAGTCTGAAAGCTTTGAAGAAAAGATTACACTGCCTTGATTACATTATATTAAATAAAGAAGACTGTCACAGCAACTAAGAGTTTTTCTTGTTAGTTCTGGCAACACAAGGTGCCATGCTGTGAGAGGGCCATGTGTAAAGAAGACCTGAGGGAGTCCTCTACGTAGCTGAGTGCCAGAAAGAAGATAGGGACCTGAGTCCTACCACCTCAAATTCATTCAGCAAATAACCTCAAAGAGCCTGGAAGGAGACTCTGAACTCCAGACTAGACCCTGGTACAAGCCTGATTTTAATCTGGCAAGACCCTAAGAAGACTCCAACTCAAGTCCAGACTTCTGACCAATGGAAACTGTGAGATAATGGATGTGTGCTGTTTCAAACTGAAAAGTCAGTGACAATGTGTTATGCAGCTATAAAAAACTAACACACTGGGCAAACAGAAACGGTCTGCATGACCAGTGCAGGCAACACCAGTTATCACTAAATATGAGTGGTATACCTGATGTTCAGCAATAAGCGCTTTAACTCGGTCAATGTTCTGAGGGATTGGCTCCTGATCCCGCTGGAGGAGGGTAGTCTCTGCCCACTGGATCCATGCCAGAAGTTCTTCCAGGAGCTCGGCATTAGCTACCAGTTCTGACAAGGCTGTTTCAAGACGCTGCTGGTGCTGCTTGGCCCATGTTAGGACCTGTGCATAAAGAAAAGCAGGTATTGACTCCTTCGCCAAACAGACTCTCTGTGCTTTCAAAGCCTTTCCCATCTGATCCTCACAGTGACAATTTAAGGGAGAGAGTACCCCAAAAAACACGAGGCTGGAGTTTACCCCAGAGAGAGAACTGGGATAAAAACTGGAATAAGAAATGGGCCCCTGTAAAAAAATTTAGTACATTTACAGATCTTTTTATCAAAGAAAGAAACAATACACCTAGTTTATCCATTTGAAAATAATTAAAGCATCACTAATAATTACCAGCACCATTCTTCCAGGCTTTTGCACATTGCCAAGAAGAGTGATTACTAAAATGCTAACTTAATTTTCGATGAGTTATTCACAAGGAGTGAGCAATGAGCAAAGATTCCTGATCTTTTTTTAATAGGGGGAGTAAAGTACTAGTAGTATTTTATTGATATAAATTCATTTTATTGGGTGTGTGTAGTCTTTCTCTAAAACCAGTGACTCACCTCCTCAAACCGAGCTCGGATAATAGTGATCCAGTGTTTGATGGTGGTGATGCAATCAGGGTGGCAGACAGCCAGGATGACCTCCCCCATTGCTACTGCTGCGTTAACATCCACTCGCTTTTCTTCTACTTTCTTCATAAATTCCTAAACAAAGATTTTGAAAACAAAAATCTTAAGAAGTGTCCTCCAGCAGGACTGTTAGCTCACACTGAGAGATAGAAATTTTAGTGTTAATTCCTCTCCAGGTGTTGACATAAGATTCCCTACAACTCTTTTTTGGGGGTGTCTGGTGTTTTCTCTCCAGTTTTGAAAGCCATGGAGAAAGTGAGGGGTAAAACATAAATGATTTCACGATGACGACAGACTAAGGGCAAAGGCATACTTCTTTTCCTACAATGAGTTTGTTTCAGTTTCTTCATTAACCTTGTTTTGACTCATTTTTCTATTTGTAAAACAGTAATATTACCACACAAATATAACAGTAGCTATAAAACATTTCAATATTCTAAAAATACCCACAATAAAATACAATGGCAAAAAAAGATTAAAATCTCTCATAGGTAAAGTAAAATTAACACAGAAACTGAAGGAGGAATATTTCTCAACTTATTAGGCCTTAGATACTCCATTAGACTGTGCAGCTTGGTAAGTGACTGCTGGGGATGGATTTGAGCCTGAAGACAAAGGAGTATGCCAGGGACAGATAACAGGGACGGAATAACTCACTCTTTTCTTTGTAGAATGCCTTATCCTTTGATATTTGTACAAACAGCATACATAATTTTTATGAAATACTTACTTCCCTCTCATTTCAGCTAGACCAAGGATCTGGGCCCATCTTTGTTTTGCTCTTTTCTCCCAGGAAGACTAATGTTTCCAAGAGCTCTGTGTACCCTGGGACTGGATTACCTTGTGGGTGTCAATGAGAGACTGCAAAGCCTCTGTGTCATCAGGAAGTGCTCCCCGAAAGCGAAGGGTCTGTTCAGCTTCAGAAAGCCACTCCAGTAGCATGTGGACTGTGTCTCGGAACTCTTCTGCCTGAAGTAACCAAACATAAAAGATTGAACCTCTCTCCATAGCCGAGCTTCTAGACACTGTGGCACACCAGGTAAACAGCCAGGGCTCGAGCTCTTCTGTGTGTCACAGACATGTGAGGGTCCTACCCAAGGCCCACAGAGTTTATCCATCATGTGTGGACCTTTAAAAAGGAACAATTAATTCGTCTTCTAATATAAATATTAAAGTCATGTAAAATGGAGTATCAGGTTTTTACTTTGCTATATTTATTTCAAGAACAGCTAACAGCAACACTAATAAGTATATTACAGTGGATCTGCTTAAATCCCAAAGGCCATGGGAGACAATTGGCCTGTGGGCTATCAGCACACCTCGCCACAGACTATGCCACTAGAGCTCCCCAGAAGGTACAGGATGAGTGGGTGGGGGGAGGGGGGAAAGGGAGTTAGGTTCAGAAGTGATTGGGTTGTCCCAGCACACATCTCTTACCTGTTTGAAGGCCTGCTCAAGCCGGCTTTGTTTGGAGACCGAGAGTTTACACACGGTGTCCCACCGAGTGCTCAGTTCCTGGAGCTGTCCTTTCACCCAAGTCGTGTCATCTCGGCTATTTTCAATCAACTCTCTCCCTGACCGCTTAAGTACCTGAACAGTTCCAGTTCGCTTTCCAAGTTCCTTCTGGAAAACCTAGAAGAGAAAATAGAGGAATTAGCCTGAGTTTGTCTGAAAAGCCAAAGCACAGAGGAAGGTATTATTTAAATCAATTTTCTGTGGTAGGTTCCAATCCTGTCTTATGCAAAGGCAGGCCAGGGCAATTTATACAAAAGAACAATCTGAACAACTAGATTTAAATGTCGGTTCAGGCATTTTATGCTGCCTGGTTTAATTCCTCTGAGTACTAGTGACCTCATTTGTAAAATGGGAGTAATGATACTAATATTTCCAGAATTATGTTAGTTAAGTAATAACAGGCACATACGATCATGATGATGTTAAGTTCAAGGCCAAGGACATTAAGACAGGTGTGTGCCATGGATTCGACTGACTCACAGTACCCTGTATGACAGAAAAGGATTGTTCCATAGGCAATTGGTGTAATTTTTATTAGAATATATCAAAATGCAAACACTGAATCTGCTCTGACTTACAGCAACCTTCCATCAGTTTTCTGAGGCTCTAAATTATAACAAGAGGAAACTGCCCATCTTTCTCCTGTCAAGTCACTGGCAGATTCAAGCTGCCAACGACGTGCATAGCCTATGGGGTTAGCAGCACAACTTGCAATGGACTATGCTACAGAGGTCCTGAGAAGAAGCAGAAGGTGCATTAAATATTGGCATGCATAGTATTAGGTTCAGATGCAGTTACAAAAGAGCATTCATTGGACATGGGCATCTTTAAGGATATTCATCTAAACTTTTAATTTACTTTGGACTCAAACAAGAAAAATGAGATCTCAAAGTGAAGATTATGTATTTCAGAATTTGAATCAGACCACTTTTGGCAGGAACACAGAGCAAGAAGTTGCCACTCTTAAAAACAGAAACACGGTGCAACCACTGTGGAAAGCGATGTGGCGCTTTCTCAAAAAGTTGCAAATAGAGATACCATTTGACCCAGCAATTCCACTACTGGGAATATACCCTAAAGAGACCATAAATGACATCCAAGTAGATATATGCATTCCCATGTTCATTGCGGCTTTGTTTACAATAGCAAGGAGTTGGAAACAACCTAAATGTCCATCAACAAATGAATGGGTAGAGAAGCTGTGGTATATTCGCACAATGTAATATTATGCTGCATTGAAAAACAAGGAACTCATGCAATATTATTCAAAATGGGTGACCCTGGAGGACATTATGCTGAGTGAGGTATTTCAGTCACAAAGGGACAAATGCTATATGGTGCCACTGTTGCAGAATGAGGCTGACATCAGGGTGGGGGTAAGACTGAGAAAAACTGGATGAAATATGTTTATGGCATTGAAGTCTATGGGGGAGAGAATAGTTTAAAAGTATTATATTTTAGGGCATTATGTTTATCGTAAGAGTATGGAATGAGGGTTGCAGAGTGGATTATATTTGGGTTTGGGGATGTGGTTGGGGGATGTGCGGGGGGGGATTGTGTACTAATGAGGGAGTTTTTCTTTTGCTTTTCAAGGAGAGGAGCAAACGGGGGTGGGGTGGAGGAAGTGGGTGGACAGGGAGAAGGGTGCAACAATGAATGAATGGAATTCCAAAATCTCTGTAGATGTTCATTGAAATGAAAAATAAATTTAAAAAAAAAAAAGCAGAAACACAGGATGCTGGGCTTTCCTCTTTTTCAAGAGTTTTCTGAAAGTCCGACACAGTTACCACCGAAGAGAATACACGGGACCAAGGAGCTTTCCCTCCACAAAGCCCAAATCGTGCCCTCTCACCTTATGGGCATCCATGAGGTTCATGACAAGGTCAAGGTCCCCATGCACAGGCTGGTCCTCAGCTAGCTGTGGCTCCACCTTGTACAACCAGTCAACCAGAGCTTGCAAAGCATCCATGAACTGTCCTGAAAACAGCAGGGCCTCCTCCAACTTGTGCTGCCTGAGAAAAACATACAATCCTGCCATGTTTAGAGATTCTTTTAGGAATGATCTACAAATCAGACTATTGAAAGTGAATAGTGCATATTCCTATGCAGAGAGGAGCCTCATCATTTTGGAACAGTTAAAATTCTATTAGAAATAACTAACTGAAGAATGTAATAAATACAATTAAATATATATGTATAAATAAGAAATAAATAATACATCTGTCTATGTAAATTATATATTGGATGTCCATCATCATAATAAGAAAAGTGACTAAGGAGATACCTAGACTTAGGTAATCACACCACTCTCAAGAATGAATAAAGCACAGTGTAAGGGACAAGTAAAGATGCCCCTTCAGCAGCTTACAGCCCCAATACGGACATACCCTTATAGTTCATAGTCTGCGTTAATTACGTTATTCACCTTGCATAGAAGATGATGGTTTTGGTCTGTAATTATATGAGTTCCACTCCTAACTACACCATTTGTATGACTCTATATCCTTTAACCTCTCCGAACCTCAGTCACTTCATTTCTTATAAAAGTATAAACAGTACACAATCCTGGAGCTATGATAGTAACTACAAGGCAGTAGTACACAGTGGGTGATGTGATTAGAACCAAACTGTCTACGTTCAAATATCAGATCTGCAACTTAGCAACAACGTAATGCATTTTAGAGTAGTTAAATAATCTCATTGTGCTTGTTTTCTCGTTTGTAAAATGGGATAATAACAGTACCCACTCCAGTGGTTGTGAGGATTAAATGGCTAGCACGCAATGTCTGAGTACAAAGTACTCAGTAAAGGCCAATTCATATTATTAGTTAAATGAAATAATGCACGTAAAGCTTTTCAAAGTATCTAACAAGGTCAGATGACTGTACAACAAGACAATTACTTATCTTCAATTACTATTGGCATGATTTTAGTCCTCTTCATAATAAAAGGATCAAGAGTATATTATGACTATTTTAATATATGCTATTCCAATATCTTCATGCATAACACTCTTCAAACTAACTTACAATATGAAGGTATGAAAAAAACGCTGCTGATAATGCATTAGCTTTACTACCACCATAAAGAATACAGTAACAGAGTCTCTTATTTTTAGAATAACATACAGACTCATGAGGAGGACATTTATGCTCACCGCTCCACAGATTTGCCACAAACAGTATCCCATTTGTCCCTGACTTCTCCCAGTAAGTTGTCAAGTTTCTGAGTATCATCAGGAAGCAAAGTCTTTTCTTTTAGTGCTCTGCCAGTTCTGATTGTGGTATCGTACACTGGCTGTTTGCCACCAAGAGTTTTCTGAAATTCCTATGTTTCAAAAAAGAAACAAAGAAGCTAAAATTTAGATGACATCTTGACTTGGATTATAATATACTGGAGCTTCTGGCTGATAATCAAATACAGGATGGTTATCACTACTTTCGTAAAACAAAGTTACAAGAAAAACGAAACTATATTTAGATATACTAATGAATGTTATAAAAGAAAATGTCTATGAATCTTTGAATAGGAAAACAATTTGTTTTGTAAACTTTCACTCAAATTGCAATAAATAAATGATATTTTTGTTCATGCCACATATAGACATATATGACTATTAAAAAAAGACCCATTTTTTTAACTGTCAGCCTACAAAAAGACTTTTGTCTTAACTGCTATCATTCTTATTTGAACAGAATACTGTGTCTAGAAATAAAATGGGATGCTAAGGCGTAGTTAACGGCTTTACCTTGTGCTTAGAAAGCTGGAGTTTAATTTTGTCTGGGTCATTGGATATCTCCAGTTCAGAGTCCAGGTGACTTTCTGCATCCTCGAGCCAGTCAATCAATTTTTTCCATGCTTCATGGAACTGAAATTGGTTAGAAATTAAGTTATAAGAGGAATGAACTCTGTAACACTCTTATGAGAACCACTCCAGAGGCTCAGTGCATGCAGTACAAAGATAAATTAGAAGTTTCTATAACTTACTTGTTTTGCTCGCTTTCTGGCATCATCGAGTGATCGCCCCCTTTCAATAGAGCGCTGGACAACTTTCTCCCACCGCGACTGGACACTAACCAGCAAATTCTTGATCAGCACAACATCCTGTTTTTGGCTAAGGAACTTTAACTGATTTCCAGTTTGATCCAGCTCAATGATCTGGTCACGATGAGCATTTACTTCATTAGCAAAAACCTGAGAGAAAGATATTGTGCTTTTTAAACTAAAGACAAAGCAGATGGGCACTGCCTTCAACTACCCTTTCAAAAGGGAGGCAATAAAATCTAAGAATGTCATAGTTACCTTGTGTTCCTCTATCTGGGAAAGTACAGTGTTTAGAATAAGACTGGGAGGAGAAGCAATGTTTAAGCTCTGCTCTGCTAGTGTGAGCCAGTTGATAAATTCTTGAAGGGAATTCTGGAATTCTGTTGCCAGGTTGAGGGCTTCTTCCAACTTTGACTGAATTTTAATTAAAAAAGAAAAAGAGTCAAATTTAGGAATTATAGCTTCATGGACAAAGATGTGAATTGTATAACAAATGAAATGACCTCTAAAAAAGGAAGCCTCGTGTAATCAGTCTCCAAACATGCCTTGTTTGCAAAAAAGGGGACATTTAATGTCAGTGTCAAATTGACACACATAGAAAAAGAAAACTAGCACCATAAGCATCTAAGCTGTTTTTTCTGCCACTTTCCACTTCCTGAGATATCAAAGAACAGGAACAAAATTATCCAACAAACTTGAGGGAATAGACCCTTTAGTGGGTGACAGCTGCAGGTTGCAACCTAGTTTGAGCAAAGTCTATTCCTTTAATCTTACTTTTTGTACAGTAGTTAATAACTATGTGAAAAATATTTCAGTGCAAGGCTCTCATATTACAACACAAGTTTTCATAAAATAGGAAATCTGAAAATGTCCTAGTTTGAAATTTATGCCTTACATTATAAACAGAAAAGGTCATGAAAGAAGTCATGAAATTCTGGGCAAAATTTTGATAAAACTTGTTTTTTTTTATGCTAAATTAACCAAATTACAGTGGGCAAAACACTGGCTCATTCAGGAGCAAGTGCTACTTTCTACAAGTTCCCCAACCCCACACAATTCAGAAGCTCTGTCCTGCAGAAACTTCTACATTTTGGTGATGACTTTTGTCTTTGTGCTGTCTAACATCAAGCAGACTGAAATAATGACAGGTTGTTAAAATGAATACATCTAAAATTATTCACATGCAGAAAAAAAAATTCTAAAGTTGTATTCTTGTGTTAGTTAACCAGTATTAATTTTAGTCGATCGCATTCTACCGGATTTTTATTTCCTTAAACTCCAGTATAAACATATTAATGTTATAAAATACATACACTCAATCTAAACAAATCAAGTTGCTAAGCCAAATCCCTGTCAGGCAAATGTTTAGAAACATACTGTAAGTTTCCTAAAAGGCAGGATACTATGGATTTTTTTTACCTATACAGTCTTTAACAGAGCCTAATACACATATACTATTTTAGTGATCGTAAGATATAACATTCATGCAAAATAAAAAACTGCTTTTCCTGATGCCCAACTTTTGCTTGAAGAGCATCAGTGATGATATCTGAGGAAGCCCACTCCATCACTGAGACAACTTTTTAGAAAATTCTTGGTTATGAGCCAGAATCTGCCTGTTTTTTCAGTTTTAGCTCTGCCTTCTGCAGGAATTATAGATGACAGATTGTTCAATAACTGGAATACACAATGTTCTACATCTTACTTTGGTGAACAGTGACTAGGGTTCTTAAAAGCTTGTGGGCAGTCATCTAAGCAACAACTGACAAGGGAGAAAGAAAGAAGAAAAGTTGCTTAGAAGAAGTCTTTTAAAAAAGACGAATGGAACCCAAGAGTCTCAGTGTTCATGAGCCTGAGACTCGGCAGAAGAACTAGATAGTGCCTGGCGAGGACTGCGGATCACTTTAAAAGGAATCACAGCAGAGGTATTGGAAAAAAAACCGCAGGAAAATGTGGAACAAACGAAGAAACAGGAAAATGGCCAGGCTTATTGGTCTGACAGAAACAATGTCACCTCTAAGACTATGTCACTCTTCAAACCTGGAACAAATCTGACCCATGGTTCAATTTTCAGACAAATAACAGGCTTGTAAGATGAATGAACAATAACATCACGGAGGCACTCACTCTTTAAAAGAATCAATCATGTAAGGCCAAAAGGGCACCTCAGGAGGAAGCAGGGGCAATATAGGATCAATGGAAATGAGAATTACAGGGAGGATGTGGGAATTTGCAGTTTGTTGTGAATACTACAGTTAAAGTCATACAACAAAATGTATATGCATGCTTTAAGGGAAAATCAATTTGCTCTGTGAGTACGCAAATTTTAACAGAAAGAGAAATAGTCATATGCTCAGGTTCTCTGGTCATTCTTCATAGAACAAAATTCTCAGACCTCAATGTAGAAGCATTCTAGGAAATAAATACCTATTCAAAAATATTCATTTAGATGTGTGATTGTTTTACATTTTTCTGCTCACTGAATTCCATTAAGGCAGCATTTACTGCTTCTGCTATATCCCTAGCACAGTGGACTGCCAAAAGAACAAACAAGAAGTGCAGTCAAAATGCTCTTTAGAAAAGAGGACGATGGGAATTCATGTCACATATGATAGGCACATTATCAGGAGGGGCGAGTCCCCAGGAAAGACATCACGCTTGATAAAGCAGAGGATCCTTGAATAAAGAAGACCACAAGATGGACTGGCACGTGGGGGGTGGGAGGGAAGGGAAGGAAACTGTACAACAATGAAAGAATTTTCTTAAAGCAAACTAGGAAAATGTGCAACAATGACTGAATGGTACACTTCCATTAAAAATCTCAGTTAAAAAAAAATCTCAGTAAAAAAATTTTTTAAAACCCCCCAAAATGATGGACTGGTGCAGTGGCTCCAATAGCTTAACCAAACCCAGCAGACATTACGTGGCTGGCTCCAGATAGCGTAGTGTTTCTAGGACACACAGCACTGGTTGATGCTGAGTTAATGGTACATAACAACTACACCTGGTACATACATACTCAGTTATTTGTTGAATGGGTGTGGCTAACAGATTTGATCGCATATTCCACATTTAATGTGATGGACACAATAAAATGAAACTTGGTACTCAATAGAAGAAACTTAAACAAATATTAAGAAATCTTAAACAAATGCTTTAATCTTCCCTTTAAAGAGAAGATAATTTGCTTAATGAGAAAGGGTGAGAAAAGACCATATTAAATACATTCCTCTTGATTTTCAGTAAATTTCCTTACACACAGCCCTTAAACTAGAAATCATTCTAACTCTCTGCATGTTCTGCCCCACCTTCCTAATACCAAGTTGTTGTTGTTATGTGCCATCGAGTCACCTCTCATAGCGACCCTATGTACAATAGCCCTAAACCTTGCTCTATCTTTTGCCTATCTTATTGTCTCTGACACACCTACCACCATTACCCCACTGAATCAATCCATCTCATCAAGGGTCTTCCTCTTCTGTGCTGTCCTCTCCACCCTCCCAAGCATGATGTTCCTCTCCAAGGACCAGTCCCTCTTTGCAATATATCCAAAGTATGTAAAATGAAGCTTCAGAATCTTTGCTTCCAAAGGAGCAGCCTGGTTCACCCTTTTCTAGGACGAACCTGTTTGCTCACCTAGCAGTCACTTGTTTGTTCTAGCAGTCCATGGCATATTCAATATTTTGCTCCAGCACCAAAGCTCAAAGGCATCAATTCTCCTATCATCCCTAGTCATTGTCAAGCTTTCTGGTGCATAGCAAGTTAAATGCAAAGATTATGGCCTGGATCAGGTGCACTTTAGTCTCCAGACTGACACTGCTGCTTGTTAGTACTTTGGAGAGGTTTCGGACAGTGGACTTTCCCAATGCAATTCATCTTTTAATTTCCTGGCTACGGGTATGAAGAGTGTTGGTGTGGAGCCAAGCAAACTAAAGCTATTAACAATCTCAATCTCTTCACCATCTATTATGATGCTGCCAATAGGCCCAGTGGTAATAATGTTTGTTTTCTTGATGTTGAGCTTCAATCCATATTAAAGGCTACAGTCCTTGAACTTCTGGAGCAAGCGCTTGAGGTCCCCCTCAGTTTCAGCAATCAGGGTTGTGTCATCTGCATAATGCAGACTGTTGATGAGTCTATCTCCAATCCTGATGCCACATTTCTCCTCATAGAGCCCAGCCTCCTTGATAATCTGTTCCATAGATAGATTGAAAAGGTATGGAGGCAGGCATAGAACTTTCCTGATTTTGAACCAGGCAGTGTTTCCTTGCTCTGTTTTGATGACTGCCTCCTGGTCCAAGTACAGGGATCGCATAAGCATGATCAAGTGTTCTGGGATTCCCATTCTTCTGAGTCAGCCACAGTTTGTTGGAATCTACACAGTTAATGTCTTTGCATAGTCAATGAAACAGAGATAGACATTCCTCTGATACTCTCCGCTTTCAGCCAAGATCCATCTAATATGACTTACAATATCCCTAGTATCACGGCCTCTTCTAAACCCAGACTGCACTTCTGGCAGTTCTCTGTTGATGTTCTGTTCTAGCTGTTTTTTTGATAATTTTCATCAGAATCTTGCTTGCATGTGATATTAATGATCTTGTTCAGTAATTTCCACACTATGTTGGGTCACCTTTCTTTGGGATGGAACAAATATAGATCTCTTCCAGTCAGTTGGCCAGGTGGTTGTCCTCCAGATTTCTTAGCACAACTAGGTGACATAGGGTTCAAAAACTTTATGTACAATACCGAGTTACGAACTAAAAATCAAAGTTTTGTTTTGAATGTCCATCTGTCACTGAGTAGTGACAAACAGTAAAGTCTTAACTGGTAGGTGTAGAAAAGGAACAAATATGAAATAGTAGCAGAAACTAAAACCATCCAGGCAACGCCACACTGATGGAAATAGAAATTTTACAGCAATGAAGACAGCTTATCTGTATGAAGCCATTTCTGAAGATATCAGTTCTTTAACTTCTATTGAGTCTTATTTTCACAGAAAAGAGATGGCAATTACATGTCAATCATCAAACAAACTACTCAAACATAGTAATCACTCAGAGTATTTAATCACAGTACCTTTCTTTCCTCCATCTTACTGCTGACCACATGCCACTTCTGTTCCAAGAGTGCTACACTCTGTTCTGTCTTCGAGCCAGAGCCAGAATCATCACGGCTTAGAAGCATGAGCCTGCCCTTGTCAAGCAGCTGATTATAAGTCTCTTCCTTGGCTTTTAGTTGGGAATAGAGCTCCTATAAGAAAAGTAGTAAAGATATCAATAACACAAATTTCTTTAGGTTAATTCCCTGGAAGATAGCCACGCACAGACTTAGTAGTATAGCCTGAGTAAGTCTACAAAGGTCTCATCTAGATCAAAGGATCCTAACATGAAATAAAGGCTACTATTCTTTAATATGAAAACAATTGTTACTAATGGAAAAAAAGCCCCCTTTTCTTTAGATGAGAAATCAGCCAGACCCCAATAATTTATTTCCCCTTTTCATAATAGATTTACATTAAAATTATGTTGCTTTTTTGTTATCAGTATGTTTTCTTGAAATACTGTCATTATTTATTGGAGTAACAAAACTCATCCAGATTTCTTTAAAAAGGCAACCACGTCTGTGTTTTATATTAATCTTCTTGATGCTCTAACACTAACCATCAAGTCACTATCCTTGTACTACTCATGTTCAACCCAAATTTACCAATTCACCTTTCTACGAAGATGGCGCCGAAAGCGAAGAAGGAAGCCCCGGCCCCTCCCAAAACCGAAGCCAAAGCAAAGGCATTGAAGGCCAAGAAGGCAGTCCTGAAGGGCGTCCACAGCCAAAAAAAAAAGAAGATCCGCACGTCACCCACGTTCCGGCGGCCTAAGACGCTGAGACTCCGACAGCAGCCCAAATACCCCCGGAAGAGCGCTCCCAGGAAAAACAAGCTTGACCACTATGCCATCATCAAATTTCCCCTGACCACTGAGTCAGCTATGAAGAAGATAGAAGATAACAACACACTTGTGTTCATTGTGGATGTCAAGGCCAATAAGCACCAAATTAAACAAGCTGTAAAGAAGCTCTATGACATTGATGTGGCTAAGGTCAACACTTTGATTAGGCCTGATGGAGAGAAGAAGGCCTATGTTCGACTTGCTCCTGATTATGATGCTTTGGATGTTGCCAACAAAATTGGGATCATCTAAACTGAGTCCAGCGGGCTAATTCTAAATGAAATAAATTTTTCTCACCATAAAAAACAAAACAAAACAAAACAAACAAATTTACCAATTCACCAGTGTATTTCCATTTGACCCTTCCTTGTGACTACTGTTGTCTATAGTTAGGTATTAACTCTGAATAAGCAATATGCAGTTTGTACATCAATTGTGAGTAAAAATTTAGGGTACTTTGTAGATTCCAAGATAGATTTCCCAGAGGAATTAAAAAGCAGTTCCTAATAGACACTGGCTACTTATATTCAGTTTGAAGAACTGGCCATTACCATGTGTGTATCCAGCTGTTCCCTAGCAGTTTCAGGAAGTCCTCCTGTAGGCTTAGAAGCAGAAAGCTGGCTTTCCATTCTAGTCAGTTCCAAGAGGAAATCTTCAATTTCACTGTGGAAACCTTGGGCCTTTTGAGAAAGACATATAAGCAAAGTCAGGAGTCAATTCCGAGCTTCAAAAGCAAACTTTCTAAATGATCACATGAAGACTGTTGTAAGAGAGGAACCTAAGACTTGGCTCAGGCATAGCTGTTTCAATACTGAGTTAGCATGAAGCTAATCTATTAATCATTGTCAGAATACAGTAGAATCCTTTAACTGTAACATTATAGAAAACTGATACAAGTTGACTAACTGACCTAAGTATTGTTGAATATGTACTTGAGTTAATCCCAAGTATTATCTGAATTTGTGAGAAAACTTTGGGATAAGGAAGCTTTATTAACTTTAAATAATAATTAAAAGATACTGGTCTATAAAGAAATAATAATAAAGACCCCAAATGATCCAGTGAAAAGCTGTTCTTTCCAGACAAGACTTGGAATACAGTGGACCGTCCTCTCAGGACACAGAGAGAGGATTGTACTCCTCACCACGTTTCCCTGTGAAATGATGGCTTTCTTCCAATGTTGTGCACACAGCCCTCTCCACTCATCTTCAATGATGCACGTACCTGCTGCAGTGTCGACTGAAGCTGCTGTTCCCTTTCCTCTGTTTTTTGTAACACTGACTCCCAGCACTGGTTCATAGTTTCCAAACGGCTTCTTAAGCTGCTGGCATCATCCCCAGCACTAGATTCAAGAAGCTCATTGCCAGCTTTGTTGACTGTTTCCACTGTAGCTTGATGGGCCAGTACATCATTTTTGAGAACCTAAGAAATGTTGAACATAATTTCTCTGTATTGGTATCAAGCTTGATACCTTGTGGTACATCAAAAGGTTTCTGGTGGAAACATATATGTTTCAAGCAAATAAGACCTAAGAGATGAAAATGAAAACACTTACATGGTGCTTTGCAAGCTCAACTTCAATTACTTTTGGGTCTCCACTTATTGGTCTCTGAGCATCTAACAACTCTTCAGTGTGAATCAGCCAACTCATTAGCTCCTCTAGGGCATGTTGGAACTGGCCAAGGGCCAACAGAGCACCTTCAAGCTTATGCTGCTCAAAAAAGAGATAAAGGGAACGCCCATTAAGAAATCCGCAAACAAGAGACAGTAAGTAGATCATTTCTGAGGCTTCCATTTGCCTTACCTGTCTGTGAGCAATTTTCTCACCCAGGTTCTCCCATAGGTGTTTGAGTTCTGTTAGTGGTTCTCGTATAATGTCTCTGTCTGTTTCATCAGTTGCTTTCTTTAACATTAGCTCACCCTGGTGATTGAGCTTCTCCATCTCAATTTGCTGTTGGTAAACTTCTACTTTGAACTCCTATCAAAGACATACTTAATGTTAACACTGAGCCAAGCTTTGAAAAATTAAAGGAGCCCAGAGAAGCAGTTATTTTTCCAAAGCAGCAGGTCAGTCGCAGATACAAACCTTCATTTCATTTAACTGATCTTTAACAGTGTTGAGGTCAGTGCCGACAGGGGGCATGGTGCAGAGTTTAATCACAGTGTTATCTAGCCAGTCAAACATAGCCTAAAATAAAAAAATACAAACAGAAGATAAAAGAAGTCAGGAGAAGAATAGCAATATCTGCTAGTATAAAATAGAGAAAAAGCTAAAGAATCACTCCCAGGGAAGGGAAGGAGGTGGGAGTAAAAATTATAAATAGTTAAAAAAGATATATTTCAAGGGAAAGGCAATGTACAGTAAGGGAAGATGAGCACATTATCACTAAAGAAAAGGAAGATGCAGAGACATATAGAAGGATTTATGGAAATCAAAATTACAAGGGAGAGAATGAAAAAAGTAAAGTTACATTGTGGGTACTGAAATTAGTGTCATAGAACAAAAAGTGTATGAACTGCTGAATGAAAAATTAATTTGCTTTGTCAACTTTCACTCAAACTATATTCAAATGAGAGGATAAAATACTTAAATAAAGCTAGACAGTATTATTTAAGGGGGAGCTCACTTTGTTAGTTGTTTCTGTTTTTAAGTGGGGGCAGAGGTTAAGGGATAATGATCTTTATTCCAGTAACAGAGAGATTCAAGAACTGAGCCAACATCATAGGGATGATGTCCAAAATAAACTCCTCTCTGGAAATATTAAATGTGAATAATGGTTACTATTTCTCATTACCAGCTAGCAAGCCGATGATATTCCAAAACTAATGTGCCAACTTATGCTTTAAGATAACTAAGGGAGGTTGGGAACCTTTGAGGGGCAAGGCCGGCTTCACTTTGTAGCCACCACAAGGACAGGTATAATAAGCATGCAGTGATGATAAAAATGACAAGAAGAATAAAAGTTTGGATCTGTGTCTGTCTGGGCTTTTCTCAGTAGAAGTGGAAAAACTTTGGCTACAATAAGGAAACAGCACTCTCTTAGGTTGGAGAATGTAGCAGTCTTCTGGAAGTGACCCACTGCTGTACTAAAAAACACAGAGGAAGTCTTACTTCCTCAGTGATCACTTCTGGGCTTCTCACCTGCAGAGTGTCCTGATACTGCACAGCAGCTTGCATGGCATCCTCAAGTTTTTCTATCCTCTCTTTCCATGTTTTGTTTAAGTTCTCCCAGGCATTATTCATCTGGAAGAAAAACATCCAGATTCTAAAATTCCTAACGCCACTCCTCAGCCTGAGTCGGCGTGAATTTCATCTGCTTTCCTTACGCATCTCTCCATACCTCATCAATGCTCTTCTTCACCTCAGGTTTCTCAGTTTCCCCACAGGCAAAAATCAAATCTGCTCCAAGGATTCGAATAAACTCCAGCTCCTCATGCAAACCATCTGTCTCCTCCTTAATGGTCTACAAGTAAATGAACGAAGCATAAGCCAAAACAGAAAGCAGAACAGAACTTCCCAAACTTTGTAAATGCAATTCAGCTGGCCAGTGAAACTGTCAATTTCACAAAAGCTTATCAATATTCTTTTTCCCCCCCATCTTAGTAGATGCAAAAAGCTAATGAATATTCTTAACGCACTGCCTGTCTGGATTGCGAAGGTTTCCACATTCCTGAGTAGTTATTTTCTTATTGAGAAAATGGCAGTGAGCGTCTCTAGTGAGCTCATGCCCTCCTTTTGCTCAGCATTTGTCAAGTATACAGTACCTCTGGAAAGAGGCAAGGGATAACTGCTATATCCAAGGGGATTAAAATCTACATAGGAGTATGTCAAATAATAGAAGCGACAAATCTAAAACCTGAGAGATGACGATCGTAAGAGTCAAACAGAAAAAAAAGAGGAAAAAAAAAGAGTCAAACAGATTAGATCATCTTGAAGACAGTGTTCCTTCAGCTCTTAAAAGGTAGTTTATGGACTGACAACGATGGAGATGGAAGGGAGGAGAATTTCTGAAATAAAAATAAGACATAAGACAGATAACATCAATACAGTATTAGCTTGTGCTAAATAAGATAAAGTGAGAAGTATTTAGTCAAAGTTAGACTTGATAACGTGGATGGCGCAGGACGAGGCTGTACGTCTACTGGGCAAGGACTGCCCCTTCTCCTGCAGGTGCCTGCTGGACTGAAGTGCTGACTTTCTGGTTAGCAGCCTGACTCAATGCACTTCACCACCAGGGCTCCTTCATGATGAGCACAGTCGCCATTTAGTTTACTGCTCTGCTCAGTATCTTCTGCCCTGGTCATTTTGGGGTGACCATCTCCATACTGTGAACTGCTTCCCTTACACTAAGTCTACTACCTCGTTATTGGTTTACCCTCCCATTCCTGGTAATGTATTAATTATTATTAATTTAATTAATTGATATTAATAATGGTTAAGTATTATTTTAAAGTGAAAAAAATTCTATTAACTGTCAAAAACAAAATAGAAGAAATTCTCTAAGGTGCTCAGCTTGGCTAAGCAATCAACACAACATAATTGAACAAAGTACATTTCTGGAAGACACACACATTACTTGAAGAAGTTTTGGGGTTTTTCTTACCTCAGCAGCTTCAACCTGTTGTTTGATGATTGATGGGTCAATGCCTGGACTTTCCAAGTCATGGACAATATCCTGGGTGTCTCTGATGGTGGTCAAAAGAGCTGCCATATCATACCAGAATTTTTCCGCTAATTCAAGGACATCAAGAAATTTAATTTCTCGCTCTTCAGCCCGAGCTTTGATATCTTCCCAGAAGAAAACCATTTGATCCAATTTGTCCTGGATTTCTAAAGTAATAAAAAGAGATGTGTCTAGCCTTATCAGAAATTCTAACGATTCTGATATTGTCACTGCTATAAGAAAGAAAAGCCTTAAAAAATTTAGCTCAGTGATTATCTGTGAAGCCAGGGTATTTTATAAACTTTCTGTGAAATCCCAGAAGTGTAAAATGTATTAATTAGAATGTAAAATAAATATTTCCACCCAAATAAAGGAAACCTAAAAACTAAAAAAAAAACAAAACCAAACTACAGGATAGTTTTCTCTTTAGACTTATGATTATGATTTCTGTCTTAGTAAATTTTGTTTTATACTGGTTTTCCACATAAATAAATCACACAAATAATTAGGAAATGTGTAACAAAGATACTGCTTAAATACAAAACTCCACATTTATAAAGGAGCTGGAATAAGAACTATTTCCAGTGCTGTGTGTTGAACTTGCTATATGTTTCCCATGGAAAGTGTTATAAAAGATACTTATGTTTTACCCACTGTTGACACTATAGTTCACTCACATTAGGGGGTTAAAGGAGCATTTGTTGTCTGGTCTGGGAATCTAACTCCCAATTGTACTCGTTTCAATGGGGCAATGTGTTCTGAATTTCCAATGATTTCCTAATGACTTTCTGCAATACTCATTACTTGGGAAACTACCTTGACATTCAATGAAACACACTCAGTGAGATGTTGGAGATAACTACAGCCTAGAATGTATTCTATTGATTTTCTTTAGAAATAAGTAGATTTAAGCACCTTTTGCAGCCAGATCCTTGTCAGCTCCCTGAGATCGCCCAATGAGCTCTTCTCCACGGCGTTTCAGGGCCTCGAAGGAAGGCTGTAGCTTTTCTAGCTCCACGGTGGCACTTTTGTTATCACTGATACACTCTCTGATCTTGTCTACTTCAGCAGGAATCAACGGTGGTATGCGCAGGCGAGAGGAAAGATTCCCCAGAGTCTCCAACATGGGCTCAATTTTATCATGGAACTAAACAAATATTGGATTGTTAGCCATCACAATAATTTTATCATATATCTGGGAAATGTTAGGGAATAAGGCCAAGGGATAAATGTTCCACTGTTTGGAATAACCTGTGCTACAACCTAGCAAGAACCCCTGCTAGCTGTTGAGTGCTGGCTTGGCTAAGAAACTAGACATAGTATACCAACGCTAGATCAACAAAAAAGAATGAAAGTGTTTACTTTAACAACCAAGGATATTAAGTAATATATCAGACATCAACTCAGATTATTAGTGTTGTTTATAATATTTCTTCTATTCCAGCTAATATGAGGAGAAAGGACAAGACCATGATAGTTGTATCAACATCTTGGATGACAGTTGCATGCGACAGACTAAAACAACAAGTTAGATGCCCTTTACCAGTTATGTAAATGCATGTGACCAGGAGTTTTAAAGTATTGTGGCATGCAATTTAACAACCCACAGTGTGTAACAGTGGGAAAGGAAAATGTTGGCATGATGAAAGGTAATTAAGGTAGGTAAAATCTAACCTTACTTAATGAACAACTAACTTCACACTTGTTTTATACTTTCAAAAACATGACTACAATTGTAAAATTGTCATTTATAATCTAAAGTGGGGAAGGGGATGGAAGCAAAATGAGTAAGCTTGCTTTCTGAAAAAGCTATTTAAAACTAACTGGAGAAAACAACTCTGGATTCATTAATAAGGAATAATATCCACTTCAAGTATTCATGGTGGGAGTCCTTTAACAAAATCACTTCCCATCACTTGTAAGTTCCACCCCAGATGAAACTGGCAAAATAAAGTGCACTAATATTTATTCCACAATAGTCAAGGGAAATTTCCTTATTGGTAATGACCTCAATTCTCAGCTTTATAAGAACACTCTAATCGCAATGGGAGTAGGTACCTTACCTCTGTAATCTGTAATGGTGGGCGCGGTCAACACAACAATGAAATGTGACGATGTGGGGAAGACAGGAGCAGGCAGCAACAACACAAAGTAACACATTCCACAATGTGAGTGAGAGATGGGATGGAAGGTGGGGGGAAAAACTTGAGTAAGTACAAATATTATCCAAGAATATTGACTAAACATAGGAATCAAATACCCAGACATGACAAAAGTACCATTAACAGTAATACATATTAGTTGAAAGTATGTAGTTACATGCTTTAAATGCAATTGCTGGTGGCTGATACTTCTCTTTGCTGTTATTTCTCCCCACTTAAGTATCTCTCTCTGAACGAGAAGCTAACTAGTGTCCTTTTGGATAAAAAGACTAAAGCACTTGTTGTCATGTTAACTCTCAAAAGTAACAGATCCAATAGAAACTTGACCTTTTCTGAGGCATTCATTGCTTTTGAGTTTGTAAAATGGGTGTATCTGAAATCACTCCTGCTAAAAGTTAAGTTTTCAGGGAAACCTTTTAACAGCAATATACTAGCTAAGATAGAAGTATGCCAATGTTCTTTGGAATAAAAACACAGATAGACAATATACCCTAATCTATCAGGAATGTATCATTAGCATGTTGGTGAGGACATAACAGAGATGACCTCTTGCTATAAGGACAGATGAAGGTTGTGTAAGTTCCAGACACACACATACCTGAGCAGACTGGGAAACAGCTTCATCCAGAGCCAGGGCCCGCTGGCGCACCTCCTCTTTTATTTGGGCATACATGTTTTCTGCTTTCTGGTATTTTTCTTCCACCATTTCCCCCTCCTCAGGGTTTAGCTCCTTTAATTGTGGGCCAATTTTCAGTAGTTTATCAATATGAGGTTTGTGTTCAGCAATAGACTCTCTCAATTGCTATGCAAAAAAAGGAAGATTGAAATATATCTGTTTTTATAGAAGCTTATTTGTGCAGCTACTTGGCCTGATGCTAATGCAAACTTTCAAAGAACAGACTCACGTGTTAAAAACCAGCAGGTCCTAGCATCATATCACTAACTAATGGGGAACAGAATACTCCTAAGTGTTAGGCTGTTAACACTAACTAATTATCTTAATTTTCAAAAGTCAGTTCAGATGTCTCTTTACCCAGAAAAACTTCCCAGTATATTCACTCTCCCTCTCCTTTGCTCCCTGTATAGTTAATTTATTCTATCCTCCGCTGGACTCATAAGGACTTTTATAAGTGATATTGTAATTTACATAAGTTTAATATCTGTTTCCCTCACCAGAACGATACACACCAAACAGGTATGATTAGCAGCGTGACTTGTATTCCAACTACTCCCTGACCCCACTCTTTGTCACTTCCAGTTTATAATTCCCAAAGGAATATAAGTATAGGAGTAAGCACAAGTCATAAAAAAGAAGTAAAAGTAAGCTTTTAAAACCTATCTGTAATAGTGACAGCATTATTAATTGTAACACAGCTGAAATATAACTTTCTCTTTCACCTTAACTATATGCAGTAAAGGCTTCTTGACAGAAAGCAAAGGGCTGTCACTTCAGCTTGTGTCTCAGCAAGTAGATAGAGCCACCCACTCCCATCTAATGATAGTCCTTGTCCTCAGAAAGATTTTAAATTCCCTTGGTTTTTAGTTAGCTCTTTGCTTATGTTCAATATTGAGGTTCATGATATTGGCATAATCTTATTCTTTAATTCATTCATGTTAAAGAATAAAGAAGGGTGGAGTGACAGTGCAGGAGAGGAAGACCCCAGATGAGATGGATCGATACGGTAACTGGGGTAATGGGGTTAGGTGTGTCAGAATCAGTGAGACTGGCTTAGGACAAGGCAGGCTTCGGAGCTATTGTACATAGGGTCGCTATGCTATGGGTCGCAGGAAACTTGACAGCACATAACAACAACAAAAAGAACAACAACTTTTAAGGTACAAAGAAATGATAATTATGAGCCAACTTCATAACACAGAACTTAACATCCAGTTTGTTGTTGTTGTTGTTATGTGCCGTCGAGTTGTTTGCGACTCATAGCGACCCTATGTACAACAGCCCTAAACCCTGCCCTATCCTGTGCCACATTGCCTCTGACACACCCATCCCAATTACCCCAGTCACTGAATCAATCCACCTCATAGAGGGTCTTCCTCTCCAGTAGGCACTAATAAATACACTGTTACAGAGTGAACTCATTTTTTCCGTTCTGCAATTAAATAAAACTTGGCATGCTTCTTACCCTCATTTCTTCTTGCTGCTGCCTCAGCTGCTCATGATCTATAGCTGGAGGAGGTAACTGTGCTATGAGTGCCCGAGTTTCTTCAATCCAGGGGCTGAGCTCCTCGTAAGTTTCCCAAAACTGATTCACCAACACCTGTGCCCGCTCTAGCCGGGCATAACGTTCTGAATTGAGAAGGCTTATGGCTTCATACTGCTGTATGAGAGACTCTGTCTTTTCCTGGGAGTCAAAAGAGAAAAAAAAAGTGTGTTACAAATCCTTTTGTAAAATAAACAAAAGAGAATTAAACATTTTGAAGCGATACACATGAAAATATTTTAAACTGGATTAATATAGAAAGATAGCAAGTGATTTTAAATAAACGTCATCATTTCTATAATTTCTAAACTATGAAAATGTTATTAAAGGCAATAAAATGGCACAAGAACAACAGAGTTAAATTAATTTCAGATGATGTATAAATTTAGAGATACAATTATTAAAATAAATCAACTCAGAGTAGACATGTTAGGAGTGTGATAAAATCTTTGTCTATCAGGTTTCATTTATCTTTTGACAAATAAGTCTCCACGAAGCTGGCACTTAAGCTTCTTATGTTTGGAATAAGTAACTCAGTTGGGTACGATGATTTCTGGTCTATAAAGAATTTCTTTTGGCTAATCATTTTAAAGGAGCTCTGGTGGCCTATCAACTCCTTATCTGGTGGGTGAGGAGTTGTCCTTCTAACCTAAAAGCAGTCAATTTGAGTCTATCAGATGTTTGTTCCTCAGGAAAAAGACAGGAACTCTTCTCCTGTGTGATTTACAGCTTTAGACAACCTGCTGGAGAGTCTGCTATGAGTTGGTTCCAACTTGACAGCCATGACTTTGAGGGTATTTTGTAATTAATCATTTTAGAAACAAGTATGCCTTTTGAAAGGATGTAAAGAAGGAATGAGTGTCTACAAAACCCAACAATAACAAACATAAGTAACTTAGAGATTACTCAAAGCTCACTCTTTATAGACTAATGATGAGGAGCAATTCTGCTGTAACATGTTTAGAAACTTGTAAACACAGAGTAAGGAACCTGAGTTCCAGAATGTGAAATGTCAAGATGCGTTTTTGTACCTCTAGCTACAAGAAAGCCTAAGAGGAAAAGAACTGCTTAAATCGTCATTTCACAATTAGTCTTCCAATTCACCATGCTCAAGAACACAAATATAGTGAATAAATAATTTTAAGTTACCTGTAATACAGCTTTCTGTTCCTCTCCACATGTGCTAAAGATTTCCCCACGATGGCTGAAGAGTTCATCCATTGAATCTTTGTGTCGAATGATATCAATGGAGAAAGCCTTTGAACAGCAAACCATAATTAATAATTAAAAGGACACTAAATTTTCTTATGCTTATTGAGGCCTGGTGGAAAGCATTCTGCAGCTAAGTGAAAGGCTGGTGTTTTGAACCCATCTGCCTCTCTGAAGGGGAAAGATGGGGTTTTTTTAAAATCTCTTTTATTCATTGTTGCACATTTTCTCCCCCCCCACATCTCCCAGCCCACCTTGCAATGCACCCCTTGTTCCAGATTGTTCTCATGCATATAATGCATAATCATATATTCCTTTCAGACAGTTCTTCCTCTCATCTGTTTTAATGTAGTGTTCATTATCTAGCCACTCTTTCCCCATTTCCTTGCCAAGCCCTCATGCCTGTCCTATTTTATAATATTTTATTGTGTTATGCAATATTTGTCAGAGTAAGATCTTCAGGCAGCGCTGTTCTACAGGGTCTTTATGAGCTGACTTGATGGCAGTGGGTTTGAATTTTTGGTTAGCCTGTGCTAGTGGAAATCCTATGACAAATTCTTTGCTTTACAGTTACATCAAAAAGCACTTCTTAAGGGAGCTCTGGTGGCATAGCGGCAAGAAGCTGTGCTGTAATCCTGAAGGCACATGGTTCGCATCCACCAGATGCTCTGCTGGAGTAGGAAGGGCAATATCCTGTACCAGTCTAATCTGATTTGATGGTACACAACAAGCAGGTGGGGGGAAAGACAGTGTAAAGGAAAAAAAGCACTTCTTTAAAAAAAAAGGCACTTCTTGAAAAATTTGCTACTGTCTCTGCATATATCTTTAATGTTTATCTTTCAGTAGTTTATAAAAATATCTCCTCTCCTAAAGACTATACAGAGTTATGGTGACTTAGTGGTAAGAAATTGTGCTGTCAAACCTAAGGCACGCTGTTCAAATCCACCAGCTGCTCCATGGGATAAAGACTAGCAATCTCCTCCCATGTAATTTACTGCCTCTGAAAAACCGCTAAAGGGTCAACTGTGAGTCAGTTTGGACTCAACAGTTCCTAACAACAACAACAACAACAACCTATACACATACTTTTTTAATCAAATTGGTAACTACTCAGAATTATTGGGTCCATTCTTCCCCTTTAGCAGAGCAAAAAGATCTCTGTCTCACCCCAAGGATTCGTTGAATTAATTTCTGGCCATCATCAGGACACTGGCTTATTCCACTTGACTTGGGTTAGGGAGATAATCTCTCTTAATATACTGTCACACACTTTTAAACTGACGACCGTGCTTAGAAACACATTTGCCGTGTTGTCACACTGAGCTCCTAATTATTTTACTATCTCAGAAAATAGTGCGCAGAATGGTTTTACACTTACCTTCTGTACCTGCAGCTGAGCTGTGGTTTGGTCTTGTTCTAGGCGAATTGGACCAAGGGCCATCAATTTTCGTTTTGTTTCAGCAACCCAAGCTAGTTCTGCATCGGCAGCTTGCTCATACTAACACAAGTGTTGTGGAGGGGGGAAAAACCCAAGTTATACACAGCCGTGGCCCGACTTGCTATAACTGCAATTCATTCATAGAAAGGACTGAATTTTCAATAATATATTTCATAGTTCACCAAAATAATGAATAATTTCATAAAATTCCAAACCAAGACACAGACAAATTAATTAATCATATTTCAAGTCTTTTAGAAAGAAGTTATAGTTAGACACAACAGCAGAATTTGATACCCTCCTGTAGAAATAAACTTCTAATCAGTGTTTATATAAAGCCTTAATCTTTCTGCCAATCCTTTTTACTCAGGCACTGAACAGAAATCATTCTAGTATGTTTAAGCAGAAACTTACTTAACATGGTAGCACACAATTAAGTCAAGTAAACTGAGAAGTACTTGTTCAGTTAAAGAGTGTAAGACTCCAGAAGAAGACCTCAAAGCTTAAAGTTACAGCAGCCAGACTTTTATGCCATTAACAAAGAAAGCCTATACACTTGTTTTGTCATCAGTGGTTCCAATCTTTTCTCTGTACCTGTTAAATTTTGAATACTTACACAAATATTAAAAGGGAAAAGTAAACTTGGAAACATCTGACCAATATTAGAGAGGTATAACTGGGGACATACTTGGCAGTTCATGTGTAGTTCTGAAGGCTTTTATTATCATAGTGAGCCTTAGGTGTCATACTACATTAATTTTTTTTTGTGCCATGGCACATTAATAGGTATGTATCAAACTACTCTCTTTTATTTGATATGATGTATATTATACAATAGAAAATATCTTCAGAAAGCAGAAAGGCTAACTATCAAGGGAAATGTGACACCTGTGTTTACTGCGAGGGTTCTATTTTGGATAGCTCTGCTATTTTGGTGAGCATATTTGATAGTAATTATAGTTCTTGGTTCCTTCCCATCTGACAACTAATGCTAAAGTAGTTAATTATGTCAAGCTAAATTATGAGACATTTGGAACTCTAATCACAATCCACCTGATTAGCAAGGAAACAGCTAAGAAATGGCCTCAGAAAGATAGAGGCCATCTCATTTCTAAATTCTTCTCTAACCAAATGAATCAAGTATGTTCAAATTGCTGGATCCATCCTTATAATCCTCCCAATCATTTATGATTACTGAAATATATATGTTGCATCAGATTTAACTTGATCTCATTACTCATTCCTATTGCTGAGTCTGAATTTACATGGGTCATACACAGATCTCCACTGCCTAAGGTTTCAGTGCAGAGGTGTTAACATATTACCTGTTGTGATCTCTGAATAGCAGCATCGATTTCATCCACCCTTTGTCCAATAGTGTCACTGACCAGCTTGTACTGCTCGTTGGCATCAGACACAAGTTTATCCAGTCCTTCTCTGGCTCTCCAGGGCACCAGTTCCAAGAGCGCACGGCTCACCTCATTCACGGTGTCCAACACCAGTCTGTGCTCCATGACCTCCTTCTTTAATTCCTAAGGAGGAAAAAGAGTTTTCAGGCCATACTCTGCTAAATAAAGGACACTAGCAGCTGTACTGGTGAGAAGGTGTTCTCTGCACCACACTTCCCAGCAGAGTTCTGACCTCTTTCCTCCCATTATTTTTTTCTTGTCTCAAATTTTTCAATCACTCTGAAGCCTGACTTTAGGCCATATCTTGAGAACTGTACACAAGCCCTCTTGAGTCAGACTATGTCTTTGTAGAACAATAGTGCTCCTTCATGCTTTCCTCTTTATACCAGTAGAAATGACAAATAATGCTTTAAACATAATCTAGAACCATACCAGATCCTGCATGATCTCTAGAAGGTAAATGCATCATGAAGATAAATTGTGGAATGTTTATACTTAACAAAATCCACACATATATGGCAGTCAATAACTTTTCTTTAGACCATAAGTATTTTCATGCGTGTTTTTTAAAAGCCAAAATCTAATGTCAATTAATAAATAAGAAAGGAGGCAGTCAGAAATGTTTGGTTTAAGGCAGAGATGGTTGGTGAAGAAAGAAGAATTCTAGGGGGGCTGCTTGTTCCTTTTACAGAGTGAGATGACAGCTCACCTTCTGTCTTTGCTGGAACTGGGGTATCTGTTCCCCAGTGGGGGATTGTCCTCCACTGGCAGCCAGCTCCTCCTCCACCTCCCTCAGCCACCCAGTCAGCTCCTCGTAAGTAGACTGGAACTTGGTGGCCAGCTGCCGGGCTTGCTCTAAGGTTCTGAGGGCCTTGGAGCTAGTGACTGTGATGTCTGTGTATCGAGTCTTTATGCCATCTAGTTTCTCCTGGATGAGCAATACCTCTTCACCTGTGAAAGACAGTACATGATTATTCATATTTAAGAGATAAGGGATGAGGGTAAATAATATTTACTTTTACAGATACTCCCACTCTGTGGTAGTGATTTCATTGAACATCCCTCACTGGAGATGAAAGAAACCTTCCATTTGACAAAAGATGCCATTTCTAAGATTATTAAGATCTCAATGTGACTACAAGTGTTTTTAAGATGTTTTGAACATCCTTCAGTGAACACAAGAATTTTAAGAAGCATGGATAAGAGGGGGGCATAGATATGTCTTGGAAAGGTTATAGCTAGAGTGCTCTTTGAAGGCAAGAATGGTGAGGCTTTGCCTCACATACTTTGGGCATGTTGCTAGATGGGTCTGTTCCTTAGAAGAGGCCATAATGCTGGGAAGGGTGGAGAGGTGATGGAGAGGAAGACTCTCAACTAGGTGGACTGACACGGTGACTGCTGCAATACGCTCTAGTGTATCAGGATGTATGAGGATGGTGCAGGATAGAACAGGGTTCAGATCTTTTGTTCATAGGGTCACTATGAGTCGTTCTTGACTTGACAGCACCTAACAACAACATTTATAAACCAGATTGGAGACATCTTTAGGTTTCAAAAGACTTAGCAGGAAATAGGATACAATTTCATCAGACTCTGTAGAGTGTGGTAATAAAATCATTGAGTATGAAGCTTCTCAATTATCAAAGAGAAGTGGTTAATTCACGCTGCTTACTCTCCCGGATATGTGATTGTTCGAGGTGCTGGACTGCATGGTTCAAAGTACCTGTGGTTTGTTTTAGAAGAGCCTGACCATTTTTAATGGCTTGATCTACATTCTTCTTTCTATTAACAATCTCTTCATTTAACGCCTGAAAGGAAAGAGTAGTGTTAATCCCTAAACCATGGCAAAACAAAGTGAAAGAAATTTAAGATCTTTATGAGATCAAATTTAAAGTAAAGACATGCTCTTTTTTTTAGATGTATACCAGTTTAGTTTTTAAAGCACCAAATATTTTATTCCCCATTCCCTCATTTGTTCCCTTCATTAATTACACAAAATAATTAAATCGGATACTTAAAGGCAGGCTTTCCTTTCACTGGATAAGAAAAGATTTGATAATTTAGTTTTTCCAATTTAAGAGATCTTACCAGTCTTAAACTCAAGAAAAACAGAGGTGGAATTGAGCAAAAATACCTACTATGCCCCACTTAAGAATAAGACAAAGTTCAAGAGAAGGAAGTCTGCAAAAATAGGCTGACTTTAATCAAGATCTGAGCTGAAATTCTCTCAATATTTGAAATCAATGAGATGGAAGAATTTTACACTGTTAAAAACAAACAAAACCCCCACTTTGCTTATTTTTATAAACCTTAAATAAGAGATGACAACATAACAGAAAGATCAAACTGCTCTTTCTTCTGAGATGGCATAGACTCCCTGGGATTTGACCGTATAAATTCTAGAAATATTCTAAAATTTGGAAAATCTGATCAAATTTTGGACACTATTTGGGTACACCTGATTTTGGTAAAGTACATTCTCTTCCATAAAGCTCCTCAAGCGAAAACTTAAGAGATACCATTAATGACGTAAAGCATTCAGTATTGTCTCTTATAACACCAGGAGCAACATCAAAGCAACACCAACCTCTCTCACTATCCATTAATGTATAAAATAAAATACAGTGTTTAGAATGAAAAACAAAACAAAACGGAGAGAAACATGAATCAAAATTACAAAATAACTAGTAACTTAACCATAAGAATGGAAAACATGAATACCAGGTGGTCAGCATGTTGCTTCTGCAAGACGTCCTGTCTGAAATCCTTTACGAACACTGAACTGAGCTTGTCCTCAACCTCAGCCAGCCAGTTGAGCACCTCCACCTCATCCTCCCCAAACAGTCTAGCATTAGACAGTGCTTGTTCAAGCAGGGCTGCTTTCCGGCAGCACCGGTCTTGAATCTCACTGTATCGGGCCTGCAAAGAGCCTAGCTTTTCTGAGAGTACACCCTGCTCTGTAGAACATGTCAGGGAGGAGAGGGACTGCCCAATTTTGACTGCCTGGTGCACATCTGTTGCATGGCTTTCTATTTCTTCCTCCAGAGCCTGGAAATCCAGAGTGGAAAAAATGAATAACAGAAACAAAACAAATGAAAAGTCAACATGAAACAATGAATAACAAATGATATAATAAATAATAACACAGAAATTCATCTACTGAAAGGCAAAAATAACATGAAAATTGAAAACAAATTTTTTTTTTCTGATGATAGCCTATTAAGAAATTTCTATTTTTATCTCAAGAATGTGACTTTGGAATTAATAACCTGATCATATTTTAAATTAAATTTTTGAGAAGTCCAAAAATGTGTCCTTCTTCTAGAATGCTACAAGCAGTTTTCTTATTCTTAGGATTTCTTGTTCCACTTCTGTGTTTTCATTCACCATGTTATTTTCCTACCTTGTGGCGAACAATCTGCTGTTGAATTTTAGCAGTCTGGGTGCCAACAGGTTCTGAGTTAGCAAGTTTTTTCTCTGTGACAGATAAGAAGTCAGAAATAGGCTCAGCTGTCTCATGGAATTGCTTGGCGAGAACCAGGATATCCTCCAGCTGTTTTTGCCTACACAGATATATAGAACAAGCTGCTCAGACAAAAAGTCACACTAACACTTATAATAAAGTACCATATTCAATGAACACCAGTTGCTACCAGGTATATTTAAAGTATCAGCAGTTAACAGAACACACATTAGGTACATTTTATATATTTTTGATCCTGTCATACCTCTCCACAGCTAAATACCTTAAAAGAGAAAACAAACTCTGAAGCCTTAAAAAAAAACACCCCAAAACACCAAAAGATGTGCTTAAGTCATCTCTAAACCAGAAGTCTGCTACCCTTGAAGTGATTCAGATTTACGGGGACCCTCCATTGGATTTCAGAGGCTGTAAAGCTTTTCCAGGGAGCTCTAGCAGCCTAGTGGCAAGAAGCTGTACTGCAATCCTGAATGCACTCAAAATCCATCAGGATGGGCAATCTTCTCTCGTGCAGTTAACTGCCTCTAAAAACTTGCTGGAGGGTCAGCTATGGGTCGGTTCTGACTCAATGGTACACAACAGCAAGAATGCATTTTGAGGGAGCTCTCGTGGTCTAGTGGGTAGAGAGTTGAGCCGCCAATTCAAAAGCAGGTGGTATGAATCCACTAGCTGTTCCTCGGGAGAGAGATGGACAATCTCCTCCTGTGAGATTTGTAGCCTCTGAAAATTCACTAGAGGGTCAATTATGAGCCATTTTCAACTTGACAGCAATTATCATGCTTTATGAGAGGGGACAGCCTCATCATCGGCAGTAGAGGGCGTGGTGGATTCAAACCACCAGTCTTTCAGTTACCAGTCCAACATGTAACACACTGTGCCACCAGGAGTCCTTCAAGTCACCTAGGGAGCTCAACAGTAGAATGAGGACTACATTCATATCTTTTAAGCTTTGTCCTTTTCCTCTTATGCCACAATGACATATACTGAAACAGTATTATAGTATATGTATCATCTGAAAATGACTGAAATAAAGTTTAAAGGGTAAAACATTAGTTTTTTTTCCTTCTGTCACTTGTGAGTGAAAAAGAAATGATCTGAAATGAGTCTTCTAGCAATTAAAAACCATAGATCAAAATTTTAAATTCAGATTTATGATAAAAAATAATCTCAGAATAGCTGAATCTGCTCACATAAATGCCAGTTAAAACAGAATGATGGACTTTATTTGGAATTTTAAGTCTTATTTAATATAAAACCTATAATAAGCAGATTTCAATTCCTTTGTAGATTAAAAGCAGTAAGTTTTAAAAGGGAGTAGTCAGGTTATCGGAGACAGGAGTTACACATAGATTTCTAACGAAAAGCTATAGTGATCACTAGGGAGCTCTGGTGGTGCAGCCTACTGGGATCTGTACTGTTAAGCCAAAGGCAGTACCCTTCTGCCAGTCTGAATCCACCAGCTGCTCTGATGGAGAAAGATGAGCAATTTCCTCTCACGTGATTTACAGCCCCTATAAACCCACTGCCAGGTCAGCTATGAGTCAGTTCCATATGGACAGCAGCAAGTTTTTTAAGTATAATGATAACTATGAACAAACTAAATAACAGAAGTCATTTGAAAATGCTAGGAGTACAATAAAAAGTTCAGCAAACCTTTACTGAATATCTTCCTTGTATAAGGCTTATCTCATGGCGAAATGGGCAAATTTATTTTAATATTATTCAAATAAGAAAATTTAACTATCTGAAAAAAGAAAATCTATTTCCAAATGTTAACTAATCTGGGTAGAATTTCCTCTCGTAGTTTACATCTATTTTAAAAACAGATTTAATGAATACATTTTAAGTATATAATCTGGATTAAACAGGAATAAGGAGCTGCACCTAAAGGCTCAAACGTGAAAGCTGCTCTTCAGGAGGAAGGTGGGCAATCACCTCCCATGCGATTTACAGTCTCTAAAAACATGCTGCAGAAGTCAGCTAAGAGTCAGCTCCTACTCGATGGCACTTAAGAGCAATTTTTAAAAACTGTCTTTAATTTCCAAATCTTTTAGCCTTCTCTCCAATCTTAGAACTTAAAAGTTTGAAGAAGTGGACATAATAGGATTTAGGATAGAAATTAAAAGAGTTAAAATAATATATAAGCATAAAAAACCTCAATGATAAAAAATTGTAATAAAAATCTTTACAGTGTCTATAACAAATGAAGCTGTCCTTGGTATACTGGACCACACACAGGTTGGGAAGATGGAAAGAAAAGACTACAAAAAAAGGAGCCATATTAGAAAGAAAGAATGACTTTAAGGAGTGCGTGAACCTCAGAGATAAGTAATGACTTATTAATAATGACCATAATAATACATGGCACAGAATGATACAGAAAGAGAAAAATTAAGAAGTGATATTATATTGGAGAATAAAGAAAAATATCATTGAAGAAGGGGATATGGAGATGGGGTGATAGAAGGCCTTTTAAAAGACGTAGCAATGCTATCAATAAAAATATTGCATTAGAGAACTGACAAAGTTTTGAAGAGGAGATGATCATGACCTCACCAAAGGAGTGAGAAGAATAGTGGGAACTAAGAAAGATAAGCTGGGGTCAAATAGTAGTGAGTGCTGAATGTTGGATTTAAGAGTTCAATTTTACTTTATAGTCAATAGGGAACTAGTAAACATTTTTAGCATGGAAAAAGGTGATCAGAGGTGTAACTGAAAAAGGTATATCTACAGCAAAAGGATGGGGGGATGTGGAGAGGGAAAGGCCTGAGAGTAAGTGGAAAGGTGCTGGTGGAGTTATTAGTTAGGAGGCTGCCTCAATAACAGCTCAAGGGAGAGCTCATAAGTCATGAACTGGAGTGGGAGAGTGGTAATTAGACAAATGGATAGGCAGGAAAGACACAAGAGAAGTAATAATGTACAGAATTTAGCATCTTGATATATGTGGGGAGTGAGGGAGGGAAAAACCAAACCAATGGCAGTCTTAGGCCTAGGTAACCATCTGCAAGGCTGATGGTGCCATTAATGGGAATGAACAGAGAGCAGAAAAAGTTACGGGTAGATATGGAAATAAAAATCAATGAAATGCTTTAATTTTCCTATCTCCCATTAATATTAGAGCAAGGCATATTTTTTAAAAAAATGTGTACTCAGTTGTGGGCAGGTAGAAATAATGTTACTGAAAAGAGAATTATTTGCAAGTTATTGTTGACTACTTAGAAAATGAAAAGGATACAATAATAAATTATGAATGTTAATATTTACATATTGATTTTTTATTAACTCTCTTCTGTTCCCCAAGTTTGTAGTAAATAAGCTACAAGACATCATGTTACATATTAAGTTCAGGTGACATTAGGGTCGAGGCTATAAAAAGAGAAGGGAGAAATAGTCATTTGGGGTCATTCTTTAATGCCCATACACTAATATGTTGCCCCTAATACACTTTTTAAATTGACAACCATGCTTAGAAACACATTGCCATCATTTGCGGAAACGTATTAAATAAGACCATAGGCTAGAGCCCAGATGCAAAGGTATCTTAATGCAAACAGAAAAGAAACGTAAGTTTAATTCTAAGTGTTAAAAACATTACTGATCACTCAACAAAATAGGACTAGAGGGTAATTTCTTCAACATAGTAAAAAGTATCTATGAAAACCCAAGAGCCAACATTGTTCTTAATGGAGAGAGGTTAAAGGCATTCACTTTAAGAATAGGAACT